GCACATTTAACCCATTTTTAATGGGTTCAAGGCATAAAAAAAAAAAACAATTTAAATATCAACACATAAACATTATAGATTTCAATGAAAACTCGCATTTAGGTGTGTATACAAAGTTCTTGCAATTACCGTAAGCTGCCGCTAGCCCCTGTCAATATTAGCACACGTTTCCCTTAACAAGTCATCTTGATGAAGTTTTCAACAGTAGATTTTATTGAACGATAGGATATTCGAAAGACAATTGACTAAAAATTGGGCTTAAATTAGTGGTTGCTCCAATGTATTTACTGGTTTATAGCAAAGGGGTGTAGGCGGAACTAGCGATAGCCTTAAAACGGAAGAGTCTTTGCCTGTATATACAATTCTAGAAGCTACATATTGTAGCTAGCTAGCTAGCTCTGGAGATGTGCTCAAACTAGGTTCAGGATAAATTTACAGGAAGCTTGCCAACCTTTACTGTTTGTATTATAATTTTCTGTTGCACATCTGTATTGGGCTTTCTGCAAACATTGCTGCTCCTGTCTGCTAAGGAGTCAGTTCGCTTCAGACGGTCGTTGTGGTTCCGTAAGGTCTCGTTAGGGTATTCGACCCACACACGGTGTGAGATGCTAGCCGAGCGGGCTGGGTCCTAGGCAAATCGGGTCGTTAACGAGCCCAGTGAGTGGTAGATGTTTGCGGTCCGCTGTGTGAGTGACATTAGTGTTACTCTTTTGAATGCAGAACCAATGAGTACGTTTACTTTTCATTGGTGGGAGCTTGACGTGAGTGACCACAATCCGATTGATATTATTGTTACACACACAATCACTAGGAATGAAAGTGTGGGGGTATTCGCTAGCGTACTTGTAGTGTGAATTGGTCCCGTAAGTTCCGCTTAATGCATTTAATGAATTGAATAACTGGTGCGAGTGATCGCATGTTTGAGACGAACCGTAAGATCATCCTCAAGCGTGTAAAGTTAACTTAATGGAGGTATTGTATGAATATCTTGTTGTATGAGTTCTTCCCCAGGGCGGATCATCAGGACTCTCATCTACTGTGGTTAATCCTGTTGACGCGAATTTACTGCAGAAATGTGTAAAAGTGCCTAGAAGTCAATTCCCGAATATATGAAAGCGATGAATGCGAAGTGTCTGAATGGGGGTTACTTCCCCAGTATATGAAAGTGACAAGAGTAATAGAGCTGCTGATCTTTTCGGGTACGGTTCCGGTTCTTTGGAAAGTTCTGCGAAGGATTATGGTAGGGAGGCTTCAGAAGAGAATGAGTGACCAAATGTCTGACAGGCAATTTGGTTTTAGGCAGGACAGATGTGTTTAGGATGCGTGAAGGTATGCTAGTGACTCTTTTGAAGGTACTTAGAAGGTTGGGTAAATGAGGGTGGCGAGAATTAGTTCTGTAGCTTGTGGCTGCCCCTGGGGTCTATCAAATATGATAACATTTTTTAATCTTCTTTCTACTGTTGATTGCATTCTATAGATTGAATTAAGGTTAATTAAAAAGACGTAGAAACGTGCAATTGAATTTTTATAAGGACATCGCAGAGAGCATCGGGCACGAGAATTACCGAACATAAAGTAGGTGTAAGGAGACAATAACAAGACTTGTATAGCTTGAAAAACAACACAGTTGATTCCGGCAATGCGAGGTTTTTGGACATAGACAGGCGCGCAATAACAAGACTGACGCTGAAAATCCTACGAGTAAAGCAAAGGGAAGACAACACTTTTACCGCAATGAAGGCATCGAACAGTCAAACTTAACGTCTTAAAGATAGAAAATGGACACGCAGCGCTTGCCAAGCCAGTTTTAAATTAACTTATTAAAAAAAATCATAACGCCAATAATACGCCAATAAACACGGTACCTGGCTAACACGTCATGCCACCGTGAGTCAAGACTCTCCTCGGGTTGAGGGATCAAGCCACAGCGATCACGAAAAGGAGGCCTACGTTAATTGGGCTAGCCGAAGATACTTAGTACCACTTGCTATCAAGTTAACAGTTCCGGTCGGCTGCAGTAAAATACTTCACCTGTTTTGTTACGATGAACGGCTTGTCTGCTGGCTTAAGTAGAACTGGTTCGACGTCAAGGCTTGGCACAAGTTCCGCCCTACTACCGTAAATTACATATTGGATTGCACAAACGTGGCAAAGGAGTGGCGACCATGGAAAAATGAATTTTTGTTGTACATGCAAGCAACAGACAAAGAAGAAGGAAAATTGCAACGTTTTTGTGGTTAATTGGCAGACAGGCTCGTGAAATCTACAACACATTGTTTCCGAATGATAGAACAGTAAACGGAATTCTTGGACAGGAAAATGTTGTGGTACCGGCTGGGAATGAAAATGCTGAACCAAATAAAATCGCTGCTATCGCAGTAGCCAATCGAAGAATATTGGATAATGTTTTGAAAGCCTTCGAGGAATATTGCATGCCGCGAATATAACGATGGAATCGTTTACATTTAACAATATTGTGCAAAAGGAGAAGCAACCGTTTGTTAAATTTGAAACAGAACTACGAAAGCAGATTGAATTCTGTGAACACAACTGTAATGGAGCATCGTATAACGAGCGAATGTTAATGGAGCATCGTATAACGAGCGAATGTTTAAAAATCGTATCATCATTGGTGTGTATGAAAAAAAATTGCAATTGAAATTGTTGAATGGCAAGGATGAGCCATTGCAAAAGGTTATTGAAATGTGCAAAACATATGAAGCAGCTAAGGAAAATAAGGTGTTGTTGAACACTAATAGTCAACCGAGTGTCAACAGTGTAGCGGAAGATCAGCTAAGTGATACAATTAATGCAGTGACACATTGTTTCAATTGTGGTAAACTCGGAAAATCATTTAGAAACATGCAAAGCCAAGAATATCATATTGCCGATCATGTGGACGCAAAGGCCATTTCTAGCGGTTTTGCAAATCAAAAGGAAAATAAACGGACAGCAAGGGAACGAAAACAGAAAGCTACGGGGGAAGTGATAAATTTCCAGATAATAACAACAATGGAAGACAACAACACTCACTCAACTGGGAGGATTCAGGTAAAAATGTTCAAATCATTGATAGAAGTGCGAATAGGGTTATTGAAGTAGATCGTATTTATAGAATAAATTCAAGCACATTGGTAATCATATGAAGCGAAGGTACAAGGAATATCAGATAGCGAATCAAGTGGTTAGGTTAAAGCTTGATACTGGACGACGATTGGTGATTTAACATCGGGTCTAACAATTTAACGGAAATTTTCTGTTATCGATTTAAAAAGCGGCTATTGGCAAGTGGAATTGGACGAAGCAAGCTCCGATTTAACAACGTTTATGACTCCATTTGGTAGGTACAAATTTATTCGCGTTCCGTTTGGACTTAATTTCGTACCTGAGTTGTTTCAACGTTAAATGATCAAATATTTGGAGACATTGAAGGGGTCATAATATATTTCGATGATATGGGTATTTGCGCGGAGAACGAAAAAGAACACTATTGTATTATGGATAAAGTAATTGAAAGAGCGCGAATAAATAATATTAAGTTTAAGCCGGATATAATCCAATATCGTCAGCGCGAGGTTAAATTTATAGGAAATGTTGTATCGGAAGGGCAAATTAAGGCGGACCCAAAATATCGCGACGCGATTTTAAAAATGAAAAAACCTGAAAGTAAAGCGGACGTTTTATGATTTTTGGGTTTCTAAAATACTTGGCAAAATTTATTCCAAATTTGTCAAAGCAATCGGAAGCATTGCGTAAAATAATTCGAATTGTGCAAACGGATGCATCAAAGGATGAAATGTATCACTATAGAATTTTGGAATATAACACAACTTCTGTTGCAAGCATGGGACTGGCACCGGCCCAGTTGTTTTTGTTCGGCGACCAATTTTCTTAACAAGTATATGATTATTGTGTTCCAATATTGACAAGATTTTGAACATATATAAAGAATAAAATTAATAAGTTTTGATTCAGATATATTGAATTAAGTGCTTTAAGAAATACTAGTTTCTAAACGATAATATAATTGCCATTACCCCATACTCTTACATTCCGAATGGTATAAAACTTTCTTCGAAGAAGAATTTCTATTTTTTTGTGAATAATAATAATAATAATATTAGTTCAGGGGAATTGCATTAGCATTTGGTATATGTCTTACTCATGCCCCAAGAATTTCATAATGGTCGTTCTGTAAAAACCGGACATTATCACGAACGCATTTCTCATAGAAATGATAACAAGAAGTACTGACGCATCCTAAGCTAAGCCGGTTGCGTACGCGTATCTGTTTGTTTCTTTGTCAAATATTCTCTCCGTTTTAAAACTGTTGTTTTAAAAAAATACTTCCATAGAAACGACTAGTCAAAAAGTAGGTTCTTGTGAAGTGTCCTGTTAATCAAAATATTTAGGCAAATCTCGGCATATTATTATTCATCCTTACATAGTATGTCGAAAATCCTAACAACAAATTATATAGCTGCCCTACAGGATCGATCGGCCGAAAGTTAAGTTTTTGTAAGAAAAAATTGTTTGCTTATAAATATAATTTGGCTACATTTAATAGCCAAATCCAATCAAGATCGTTCTTCTATATTAAATCGTTTAAAAGGAAAAATCAGAAAATTACGTTTTGTATGGCATTTTCGCTTTACCAAGATAGTTTTCCCAAGCTCAGCATTTATGAGCGTCTCAGCAAATGCATATTTCATCGGTATGCCGCAGATGTCCATATTCTGTCGCTCAATCTTTTTCATGTGTGGACAATTGAAATCTATCCCCTACTTGTATAATATTTTACAAAGATATTATTTTAAAATATTTGATTTTTGAGTTAATAGGCAATTAGATGAAAAGTTATCATCCAAGTTTTAAATAATCGAAACAACCATTTTTTTTTTAAATCAGAGCATTAGAAATTTTATATATATAATGTAAGTATAAATATATGTATGTGATTGTTGCCTCGTTTTCTAGTGGCTCTAGTTTTGTGTTCTTACCCTGAATTGGTTTGCATTTGCTTGTTAATGTTAATTATATTTTTTGGAGCACAAACTAAAACTATTGTAGCTAAAGTGTAATATACAGTACGCAGCTTTGATAAACAAGGTTACATACACACAACATTACAGCTAAGTTTAAACTTTTTTAGGTACAGTATATTATCCAAAATGTAATTGAGCTGTAATTAGTGTCCGTAAGTACAATTTTAAAATATTAATTTAAATATTAACTCAAGAATGCACGATAGATCCCTGCAATTTTGAAGGGCATATGTAAATATATATATTCATAGAACTGTGACCTTATATTAGACAGTATAAGGAAACTGTTTTAGTGGGACCTGGAGGTACGCTGTCATTAATTACGCTTGTAAAAGTGATTTGAAGCGTTTTAATATTGTATTCGTGATCATATTCGGAAGGTAGAGTGAGTTGACCGCTACTAATATTCAATACAAAAACCTCATAATGAAGGGGTGGTGCGGCATAAAGGCTTACTTTGCAACGATTGATGGTTCTTGTGCAGCTTAACATTTTTTGTTTAAAAGAAGTAAACGTGTCCTTATTTTGGGGTACCGTTTTTATGGACGGTTTTGACCATGCTTTAAGACGATAGCTTTAAAACAGCAAGACAATCTGTGGTGGGACATGGCTATATTGCCTCGGCTTCTTACGCTGATATAGAATATATACTACTTATATATATACATATATAAACTATACGCACGAATATAGATTTTGTCTAGCTATTCACTTTTTTTTAGCACTTATAGCTTTGTAGATATGTGAGAATAGTAAAGCTAGAAATGTTGAGTTTAGTAATAATTTCTTGAAGAACAAACTATTTTTCAAATTAAAACTTATTTTTCGACCGACTGAGACTATTGAGCTAATTTAGTATAGAGATTTCTATAAGATTTTACTCATCGTCATCTAGTTAAACGATTAAATGCCGTATTTGGTGCAGATATTTGCCAAAATACAATTTTTTTTATTAAAACTTAATTTTCGATCAACAGTAAGGCCCTATGCAAACTTTAAAAAATTTGCATAGATCAGACAGTCGGACAGACTGACGAATGGACAGACGGAAATGAATATGTCAATTCGGGAAATATACTGCAATGTCAACAATGGAAAATATACTGCACTGACAACAATGGGAAATATACTGCAGAGGCTGTGCCCTAAGAATCCATCTACTAGATGGTCTACTAAGCATACTGTTTTCGGTATATTATTGTTTTATTCTAGGACAACTTCTCTGCAGCACAGGTAGTTGATAATTTAACAGCATCAAATGCTGATGACTTTAAGCCAAGTAAACCACAATAAGCGATGATGTATTGATCGTCAGTCCACATGCGATGCGAGTTAAATGTCAACAAAACGAAGAGCCGTACATCTGGGTCTCTCTCCAATTAATTTCAAGATTCAGCTAGAAATTATATGAAAACAAAAAAACAATTTGAACAGGATACTATTCAATAGCAGTAAGAAATGATGAGCGATGGATAACGTTTGTAGCACGAAATCGCGAGAAACAAAAATTAATCTACTAATAGAGGTAAACTAGAACCGACCAACACTGTTTAATGGCTAATAACTAGATGAAAAATACAAAATTAATTATGTGAAAGAAAATGCTTCAGACAAAATAACTTACTGTGATATCACAGATGGCAAAGTAAGTACTTCGGTGCTTCCTTTTCTTTGGCCATTTTGTAAGTAGTTTCTGCATGTTCTGTTTTGAGGAAGACCATACATAATTTTGTGGTTTTCAAAAGTAAGCCAACAGCTTAGATCCATTGCTTTCGGAGAGTTTACAACCTTCAGTCACCGAATTGTGCAGTGGAAAATTGATTGTACATATACGCCTGTGTCTAACCAAAGACAATATAAACACTAAGATGAGTAACGCCCATACATTTGAATGCGACGCAAAATTTCTAGCCTGGCCTTTCATCTGGCCTTTGAGGCTTCGTACGGCATGCCTGCCGACTGGTTGTTCGTTCTCCAAGACCAGACGAACGAATGCCCAAGTCGCGGCTTGCTGATGCTGACACGAGCTACGAAGTTAGTCGCCAGCCTGCCTTCAGCAAAGCTGGTCGATGTTGCTTTGCGTCGCTTCGTTTTCGAAGTATATTGAGCGAAAAAGTTTAGAACTTACGATCGACGCAAAGTGCTTGTGTTTTATCCATAAAATGCATGCTTTATTTAAATGATATATTACCCTAGATATTAACGATTATTTTACAGAAGAATTTATATAATTTTTACACAAGGCGCTTCTTGCGCAATAACTATGTTAAGAAAATAGCACACATAGATTGATTTCACTTTTTTTTTGGACAGTGTATGCTCGAGAAAAGTTCTTGTCTCAGCCAATAGCGTGCGTGCACCTTTCGTTGTATGCGTGAATTATACATGCATAAGAACTTTAAAGTATGTATGTATGTGTTGTTATTCACTGCTCTGTCTTTAGCTGGCAAGAAAATAATTTTGTTAGTTTTCTAGCGCAGATCATGACCTATACCAAATTTATGTTAATATATGTGTTGGCACCGAGACTCGTGCCGGGGCGCGTATTCGGCAGGGACTTCTAGCGTCGAAAGATACAACTCGATTCAATTCGATTCGTACGAGGCGGTACGATATAATATAATTCGAACGCTGAAATCTTTATTATTCTTTCATTATTTAACAACCTATATTTTATATGATTATGAGACTTACATTCGTGCTCCGCACGCGCTTCTGTTCTCTTTTACTTCTGCTCAGCTGCAAGCACAAAACGAAAATGAACCTCGACAAAAATGCAGCTTGTGCAGCTGCGTGCGATCGACTTATCATGTAAAAACTAATTCCAACGGTGCGCTTCCAGTGTAAGCAGCGAGGGCTGCTTACAGAAAAAATGAGAGACCCAGTAGGACTTAGTCAACAGCTATTTTCACTTCGCCCCGTAACATTCCCCACCCCGTAATTCACGTGCAGTGTGTTACCAACTTTAATGTCAAGCTTAGCTAGCTTGACGGCGGGGCGAGTAATAATTCCATCGGCGGTTCGCACCACGGCACTTCGCTGCAAGCATCCTTTGAACGGTGCACGTCTACGACCACTCCTCTTGTCCAACAGTTTCGCTTGGCACCGTCGTCCACTATTATGACGATGTCGTCGACTGATATTGGTTCGAGTGGCGGTTGAAACCACTTAGTACGTCTGGTGAGTGTAGGCAGATACTCGCGCAGCCATCTTTTCCAAAATTGGTCAGCCAATTGACTGGCGACTCGGAAGCCTCGTGCCAAGCTAGCTTCGCCTGGCTCCCGTAATCCTCTCTCACGCAATCCGCTTGAATGACCTATAAGAAAATGATTTGGAGTCAGGGCTTCGGACTCAGATGTCTCCAAGGGAACATAAGTGAGTGGCCTTGAGTTGAGCACGCTTTCTACGTCAGCCAATGCTGCTCGTAGCACCTCCTCTCGTAACCCAGAGGGCGGCAGAATTTCCGACAGTATTGACTTTGTAGGGCGCACCATTCGTTCCCACGATCCTCCCATGTGGGGTGATCCTGGCGGGATAAAGGTAAACTCGAGTTCGGGTACTGTCCCTCGATCAGAGTCGGCGATATACGTTCAATTTCATCTTTTAATACTCTCCTAGCGCCTCTGAAATTTGTGCCATTGTCCGACAGCATGCGACGGGGGCAGCCGCGTCTGGCCACGAACGACTTCAGAACGCATAAGTATGAGTCAGTTGAGAGTGACGTAGCTATATCTAGGTGAACGGCGCGCACCATGAGGCATGTAAATAGCACGCCCCAGCGCTTCTCACGACGCCGTCCAACGACAATGTCGTAGGGGCCGAAGTAATCCACTCCAGTATATGTGAACGGTGGAGTATAGGGCGATAATCGTTCGATTGGCAGGTCGCCCATCCCTGGCGGCTTTGGGCGGGCGCGTCGTATGCGGCACGCTGGGCAGGTATTGGACACTTCTCTCACCAAAGCTCGTCAGCCACAAACCCAGTACCGCTGCCGCAGTTCATTTACGACGATTTCGTTGTGTAGGTGATGATATCTGCGGTGATAAAACTCAACCAGCAGATACGTCAATTGATGTCGTCTTGGCAGAATTATCGGGCGTTTGACGCAGACTTCGACTTCTTCTATACTGTCTATCCGTCCTTTAATACGTAGAATGCCCGAGTCATCCACATAAGGGGAGCACTTAAACAGCAAGCTTTTGCGATCGGTTAAGCGGCGCCCCGACCTTAAGCAGGTGATCTCACTATAAAATTCCTCTTCTTGACAAATCCGGATAAAAATCACATCCATTACATTTCTTCTTTTAAGGAGCAGAGTCTTCTGCAGATCCAGTCCTCCATCCAATCTGACCTTCTTAGTAATATTCCGTAGGAAATCCAGTACGCATAGCTGTACGGCTCTCAATTTTTCAGCTTGCTGAAACGCTGCAGATCCGGCAGAATACATCTCCAGGACGACGTGTGATTGGGTTGTTCTTCAGCATGGTACAACATGTTTAATGCAGGGCCTATTTCCGATTGTGGCCACTGCAATTCTTCTAGATACAAAAATGGTGGTCCATGGAACCACCTGGTTGAGCCATGAATTTTAGGCGCTTTAGTCCATTTCGTACCACGTTTTGAGCCGATGGTACCCATGGCCAGCTGTCCACATCTGATTCTTCTAAAATCTCTTCCATCCAAAGCGCTACGAATTGCTCGAGCATCGGAACGGATCCAGTAGAGCACATCCTTTGAATCTGTCCAGAATGTTCGTCTATGTATCCGTACCGACATTTCCTTTTGGATACATTTGGCCAGTCTCAGATCTAAGACCGCGGCCATCAGTTCCATTCGAGGTATGGACACGGGCTTTAGGGGTGCTACTCTCGTTTTCGAGGCGACCAAACTGCAATGTACTTGGCCATCAACTTCAGCCCGCAAAAATACAACTGCGGCGTAAGCATTCATACTGGCGTCAACGAATGTATGCATCTGCACAGCCTGGGTTCGGCTCACCCACTTCATGCACCGTGGAATGCGGACGGCATTCAAATTTGAAACTAGATCAAGCCAGTGTTGCCAATCGGCTTCGACTTCGTTGGTGAGGTCGTCATCCCATCCGATATTCGATCGCCATATGTTCTGAAGGATGATCTTAGCGCGTATATTAAAGAATCCTAGCAGCCCGGGTCGAAAATAGACATGATCACACTCAGAACACGTCTTTTAGTTGGGCGCTCCTTAGATGCCTTCGCAAGCAAGTTCGGCGTCACCACAAACGTCAACAGATCTTCTCCAGGTAGCCACCACAGGCCTAATACCTTCTCTTGCGCTTCATCCTGAGAGCTGATACGCTTGTACAACTGCTCACAGTCGTCTTCCAGCGCCTGTATAACTTGCTTCGAATTTGATGTCCAGCGGCGCATCTCGAAGCCGCCACTGGCATGAATCCTTTTTACAGTCTCGGCTAACTGTAATCGTTTCAGCTCCAGTATCCACCGACTGCAGCCAGTCGTCGACAAATGTGTTTTCGCAATTCGCCTTTACGGCATCCGGATGCTCCGCTACAAACTGCTCGGCATTGCGATTCTCGACGTAATTTGCTAGAGCTGGCGAGCAGGATGCTCCAAACGTCATGACTTGCATAACGTATGTTTCGAGGAAGCGTGACGAATCTCCATCACGCCAGAGAAACTTCTGTGCCGGTTGGTCTTCTAGGCGCACCTTGACTTGATGAAACATTTCCCTTATGTCGCCGGATACTG